GGAAGACCTTTCTGTCTGTCTGTCTCACTGTCCACTCTGCCTGTCAAAAAAAAAAAAAAAATACGGTGATGCTCTAACCTCCAGCCTTTAAATCAGGGAAATAACTACAAATGCAACATGTTTGGGTGTGGAAAGGTTGATTAGAAACTTGAAGTAGCAAGCCTCAGGTTTTCCTCAGCTGATCTCTTGGATATATTGTTAAAATGCAAATTTTGCTTCAGGACTGGGATGGGGCTCAAGGTGCACTTAAAATTTTTTTTAATTTATTTTTCTGAGAGGCAGAAACATAGCACAGCCAGCATGCTAGTTTACTCCCTAAACAGCTGCAATGGCTAGTAGTCAATCCAGGTCTCCCACATGGGTGTCGGGGTCCCAAGTACTCAAGCCAGCACTGCTGCCTTCCAGGGTGTGCACTGGCAGGAAGCTGGCTCTGGGAACTGAATCCAGATACTCCGGTGTGGGACGCAGGCATCTCAGCCACGAAGCTAAAGGCCTGACTTTCCCCAACCCTGCCCCTCAAGATGCATTTTTAATTAGTTTCTACAGTGGCCAGACCCCAAGTAAGTTTTAAGGCATAGCTGCTTTGGGTCCCAAAGCATTGGCTTTTGGCAAGTGAGAGGACTTGTCTGTAGCTGAATGTTCTTAAAGGGGTTGAGTAAAGGAGAGGTGACGAGAGCATGAGGACGAGCAGATGTGAGGTCCTGACTGTTGAAAGGAGCAGCTTATAGACCACACTGCAGAAGATGAGTCAGAGTCATGGCCCACGGCTACTTGTGAGCTGTTCGTGCATCCTGTCCCTGAGACTTGAAATGGGATAACAACATCTACTTCTTAGGACACTGTGAAGATGGTTTACCTGACACAGCACCTGGCACGTGCTAGGTGTTTAGTGAGTGGGAATTGCTGGGAATGAATGACTGGAGTTTGACTGAACCCGGTCCAGGTTGCAGAATGGATCGTGTACTTGGAGGACCTAAGGAGGTGGTGGAGTCCGTTAGCAGCCGTGTGGAGTGTCTTATCTGTGTAGTGCAGGGGGTGCTGCAAACACCACTCTTCACTGTGACACAGGAATTGGACCAAGCCTCAAGATACCTCCGTGGGCATGGTGGAGAGTTGAATGCTCACGTGAGCAGAAGTAGATGGACATGTGGCTGGTACAGAAGATGTGCTAACGCAGTGGTGAGAAAGTGGTTTGTAGTAGCCACCATGTTGCTGTTTGAAACTTTCCAGTGCACCCTTTCAGAAAAACACAGAGGACGTAGTGCTCACTGCCTGGCTTGTCACCCGAGGTGCCCAGGCTCTCGGGCCTTTTCTTTTCTTGCGCTCTGTGCTGCATCTTCCTGGATGCTGCTGGGAGCTCTCGCCGTTCTCCTGGGAACTCCCCTTTGCTGGGATTAGCAAGCAGCCTTTCATCTTGCTTTGTCACTAGCAAACACTCTGACTTCTGGGTTAGCTGAAGGCTGTTCTTCTGAGACATTCCTTTGCCAAAGGGAGCCCATGGACTCCTAAGCCTTATCTACCTCTTTACCAATTTTACCAGTTTCGATGTGCTGAAACTTTGATCAGCAGTTGCTGCTGCTGCTGCTGCTGTTTGGCTTAACCTCAGGGTCCCTTTAGCATTTGGATGCCCTGTCCAGTATTCAGACTTGGTACAATGTCGTTCAGCCACAGAGGAGTCTGTGTCCAGGGCCTCATGGTCCTTAGGACTCAGCAGCGACACTGTCCCACACCTCCTGTTCACCCTGTCTGCCTGTGGAAGTTGCTTGTTCTCCATGAATTTGCTCCTGGCTTGTTGACTCTCTTCTGTCTTTAGCCTATAATACACAGCCCACTGCTGCTGTTCCCTTCAACTCTGCTGTCCCATTTCCTCCTTCAGTCCCCCAGGGGCAGGGGAGTGGATGTAGGGAGAACCACAGCCCTACCTGGTTCCAGTGTCCTTCCAGGTACCTGAGCGCTGCTGGAGGAAGCCTCCCAGTGCAGTTCAGGTTCTTAACTCCCGCTCAGCCAGTGCCAGGCTCCCCTGGCAGCCGCCTCTACCGTCCCTGTGCAGCTCTTCAGACCAGCCTCAGCGTGGGTCAGACGCTTTAACCTGGTTGACAGGGCTGTCTAGCTTGGCTTGCTACTCACTGTTCACCAGCCTGAACTTGTGTTTGTAAAACATGAAGAAGGATGAGGCCCTCGGCATCAGCGCCACTTTTAAGACGGAAGTGTGAGATGTGTCGGCATTTACCATGCTTTACTGCTGGGCTTTGCAGCATCAGGGAGAAGCTTTCAACAAACGTTCACGTCTCTTGCTTTCTCAGGAACAGATTCCCGGGGCTTCGATAGGGTGGTTCTTACAGGCAGGGGTTTGCCAAGGATTATTTGAGAAGTTTGTCAAGGATTATTTTTGATTGGTGTCAGCATCCAAGCATTTGAGACATTCGGTTTCAGCTCTCAGTTACATGCCAGTGCTTTGAAAGCCTTAGGCGTAAGAATGCTAACTCCCTGCTGCATGTGGTGTGCTGTCGCTCCCCAGTGCGTGTTAGACTGGCTAGAATCTAACACTCTTCTGTGTTGGCCTGAATGTAGAGGGACTTACAGTGGAAGTGTAATATGGTACGTCTACTTAGGGAAGTAGTATGATAGTGGCTTAAAAAATTGAAGGTGTTTTAGTCATAATAAAATAATAACTAAATAAATAAATCCACGAAATCCCCTCTATTTTTTTTTAAGAAATTTTTGTCTATTTACCTGAAAGGCAGAGTTAGAGAGGCAGAGGCAGAGAGAGAGGTGTCTTCCATCCACTCCCCAGATGGCCACAATGTGCCTGTCCAAAGCCAGGAGCCTCTTCCAGGTCCCCCATGTGGGTGCAGGGGCCCAAGGACTTGGGCCATCCTCCACTATTTCTCCCAGGCTACAGCAGAGAGCTGCAGCAGAAGTGGAGCAGCTGGGACTCGAACCAGCGCCCACATGGACTCCCGGCACTGCAGGCGGCAACCTCGCCCACCATACCACAGCGCTGGCCCCTCTATTTTTTTTTTTTTTTTTTTTTTTTTTTTTTTTGACTCGAAAGGCAGAGATACAGACAGATGGGGAGACATGTCCATCTGCTGGTTCATTCCCAACAGCCAGAACCAAGACAGGTCTAAGCCAGGATCCCAAAACTCAATCTGGGTCTTTCCATATTGGTGGCAGGTATCCTAGTAGTTGAACCATCACCTACTGCCTCCCAGGATATCCGTTAAGCAGGAAGCTGGTTTGGACATAGAAGAGCCAGAACTTGAACCAGATACTCTGATGTGGGATGCAGACATCAGACAGTGGCTTGACCACTGTGCTGAATGCCCACTGCATCCCTTCTATTAAAAAGGAAAGTTAGGACCACAGCTGCCGTATCCAGAAGGGAGGTCGCATGCCCAAGGAGAGGGGGCTGGGCTCCTCCCTGTAGACATAGCTGTTTGGGGCCTTGTGGACAGGCTGTCATGAGTGGCATATGTGTCTGGTACCTGAACCCATGTCCTGACGTTGGTCTGTTCCTGCCTCAGGGCTGGTCAGGCTCTAGTGGATCAGTCAGGGCCACACAGGTGGTTTTGTTTGGGACGTAGATTTGTTTCCCATTCTTCAGATGGAACCTGCACCAAGTTCAGGCTTCTTCCTGCGTCGAATGCTCCATGGCTCCGTGGTCAGCCCCTCTTACTCCTCATCCTCATGGATACAAGATGTCTTTGCCAGGATTCCTCATTGTCCCAAGACCGAATGCAGGAAAATGTTGCTTGCATGTTTATTTGAAAGAGATTGAGACAGAGATCTTCCATGCGCTGGTTCACCCCCTAAGTGCCTGCGATGACCAGTACTGGGCCATGCCACAGCCAGAATCCTGGAATTCCTGCCAGGTCTCCCATGGGAGTGGCAGGGACCCACGCACTCAGGCCATCTGCTGCTTTCCCAGGTGCACTAGCAGGGAGTTGGATCAGAAGTGGAGCATCTAGGACTTGAACCCAGTACTCATATGAGATGCTGGCACTGCAGGTAGAGGCTTAACCTGCTGCACCACAGCATTGCTCTTTCTAATGTTTGGGATTTAAATATTGTGTGCTGAGCATTGCTGACTAGGGAACCCTCTTAATGATGTTAGCAAAAAGCCACTGAGAAAGTGGAGGCTCAGGGAAGCTGAGTGAGCTGCTCAGACCTCGCAGCCATCGACCAGTAGTGTCCGGCTCAGGGCTGTGCCAGCCAGTGCGGATTTGCAGCTATGTCATTCTGTTTCTGTCAAATGTTCCAAGTCCAGGAGTTCTCAGAAGGCACTCCATATGTGCCAGAAGTTGGTGTAAGGGAACTCTGCAAACGAGGTGGCGTGTTTGTGCTGTACCAGACTTCCGATGTGTAGCGTGAAATCCTGTATTTTAGCTGTGTGGTTTTTAAATTTACTTCAAAGACAGAGTGACAAGGGGATTGAGACAGATCTTCCATCTACTGGTTCACTTCTCAAAAAGCTGCAAACAGCCAGGGCTCAGCCAGGCTAAAGCCAGGATTCAGGAACTCCATCCAGGTCTGCCACGGGGGTAGCCAGGGCTGAGGCACTTGGGCCATCTTCTGCTGCTTCCCCAGGTGCGTTAGGAAGCTGGATTGGAGGCAGAGTAGCCAGGACTCACACCAGCACTCCAGTGTGGGCTGCAAGGGCTGCCAGTGGCTGCCAGCCAGCTGTGCCACAATGCCGGCCCCAGCTGTGGAGCTTTCTGAAGGCAGGACGTCCTCCGGAAAACAGTCGTGGTGGTGAAGGAGTCCGCTTGAGGCTCCCTGAGTGAGCTGTTGTGGGTGTGTCCAGGCACCGCAGCTGTGTCCAGGGCCCCACATGGCACAGTTTCCCAGATGCTGGCGCTGACATAGGTGCTCTGCTGTGTTCTGTCTGACGTGCGTCCTGCTGTGGTGAACTTGCTGGGAGACTGGGGAGGAAAGAGAAGCGCTGTTGGCTGGAAAGAAAGCCAAGAGGTCACGAGGTTCCCCTTTTTGTCCTCCAGTCCTGAGCATGCTGCAGAACCCGCTGGGAAACGTCCTGGGGAAGCCCCCCCTGAGCTTCCTGCCTCTGGACCCCCTGGGGTCCGACTTGGTGGACAAGTTCCCAGCACCCTCGGTGAGAGGATCCCGCCTGGACACCCGGCCCATCCTGGACTCCCGCTCCAGCAGCCCCTCTGACTCGGACACCAGTGGCTTCAGCTCCGGATCAGACCATTTCTCAGACCTGATTGTATGTAATGTGTTTGGGGAGGGGCGAGGCAGAGCTGCCCGCATGTGTTCAGGGGCAGGCAGGTGCAGCATCTGTCTGAGCTCAACACAGGCCTGTCTGTCCAGGAGAATGCTGTGGGGGCGGGGGTCACGGGCGGAGGAGGGACTGGAGGCACATCCGTGAAGCTCTGCTGTTCTACAGAACCAGGGAGGCTTTGAGAACTCGCTGAGAAAACCAGGGCTGAGGCCAAGGACTGAGTCGCTGCATGAGCTGTGAAAAAGTTAACTTCCAAAGGGATGGGGACCCCAGAAGTGTTCTGTTTCTTGACCTATACGGGTATTTTCTTGAGTCTTTAAACAACAGTTTAAGTACCTTTGTGTTCATGAGAGCTCAGATTTTCAAGTGATAATTCTAAGTCACATTAACAGTCAGCAGGGCTAGGATTTTAATCCAGATCTGGCTGAGTCTGTCTCCTACACTTTCTGCACTGACCCATGCCAGGTCTCAATTGGAGACATGATGAGTAGGAAATCCTGTGTCAAAGTTTTCTCACACGTCTCACATTCCCGTCTACAGCCGTGCATGCTGTGTGGTCTCCAGGCCTGGAATTTTACCTCACAACTGACTGATGCTCTGGGATTTCGCTTTAAATGGGTATTTAGATAACCCTACTTGAAGGTTACGTGGACCAGTGTACCCACCCCAGTTAGCATGGAAAACCCTGACATGGGCCTCCAGTGGAACGTGTGTGCATTTCTCGTAGTACCCGGCGCCCTCATGGAGAGCGTCTCGGCATTCTGCTTCCAGAAATCTGGCCGAAGAAAACATAAAACGTGAAGAAGCCATTTCTGAAGTTTACACTGATGATTCTTTTTTTAAAACTTTTATTTAATAAATATAAATTTCCAGAGTACAGCTTTTGGATTACAGTGGCTTTTCCCCCCACCCGCAACCCTCCCATCTCCCACTCCCTCTCCCATTCCATTCACATCAAGATTCATTTTTAATTCTCTTTATATACAGAAAATCAATTTAGTATATATTAAAGATTTCAACAGTTTGCACCCACACAGAAGCACAAAGTGTAAAATACTGTTCCCGAGTACCAGTTATAGCATTAATTTACATTGTACAACATATTAAGGACAGAGATCCTACATGGGGAGTAAGTGCACAGTGACTCCTGTTGTTGACTTAGCAATTGACACTCTTGTTTATGGCATCAGTAATCACCCTAGGCTCTTGTCATGAGTTGCCAAGGCTATGGAAGCCTTTTGAGTTTGCCAACTCCAATCTTATTTAGGCAAGGTCATAGTTAAAGTGCAAGTTCTCTCTTCCCTTCAGAGAAAGGTACCTCCTCCTTTGATGGCCCGTTCTTTCCACTGGGATCTCATTTAGGGTTTATTTATTTATTTATTTATTTTTGCCTGAGTGTCTTGGCTTTCCATGCCTAAAATACTCTCATGGGCTCTTCAGCCAGATTGAATGCCTTAAGGGCTGATTCTGAGGCCAGAGTGTTGCTTAGGACATATGCCATTCTATGAGTCTGCTTACACTGATGATTCTGAAAATGTGTACGGTGGCTAAATGTTTAACAATAGGGAAATGGGCCCGTGAGATGTAGCTTGTTCCCTAAGTAGATATGTTTCCTAAAATTGTTAAAAATACTGGCACTGTGGGGAAAAATAGGAAAAATTCTCTTGGAGAACTTATTTAACAGTATAACTAAAACTGCTTTTCAAAATGCATAGGAGAATGTCAATAGATGATTTATCAAATACTTAATGTGTGTTTTTATAATTTTCTACAGTGTGATTATTACTTTATAGCAAAACCATCTTTTAAAAATCTGTTTTGCTTTTCCTCCCCTAGTCCAGCCTTCGAATTTCCCCTCCTCTGCCCTTCCTGTCTCTGACGGGAGCTGGTCCCAGAGACCCTTTAAAGACAGGGGTCGGGTCCAGGATGGATCAAGAGCAAGCTGCTCTCGCTGCAGTCACTCCCTCCCCGACCAGTGCTTCAAAGAGATGGCCAGGAGCTTCTGTGTGGCCGTCCTGGGACTTGCTGGAAGCTCCGAAAGACCCCTTCAGCATAGAGAGAGAGGCCAGGCTGCACCGGCAAGCTGCAGGTGAGTGTGGCCAGGGCTGGTGTGGCCGGTGGCCGCGTTCTACAAGCAGAAAGGAAGTGACGGTGGCGCAGGCTTGGCTGCACGGTGAAGTCACCAGATGTGCAGAGAACAGCCACTTCTGAGGACTGAGTGGTCATGGGAACGAACCCACAAACAGCTTTGAGGCCAAGTGCAGAGGAAGAATAGGAGATGATCTGGTGCGAGGCCCATGCCACAGCACATGGTGTCGCAGCCACCGCTCACTTGTGCTCTTCCATGGAGTCTGGCTGCGTGGGAGGGTGTCCTCGGGAATGTTGAATGCCCCCTCCCTTCCTGTTCAGAGACACAGGCAGGAGGTGGCTTTGTTCCCCAAGGCTTTCCGATTGACACGCTCAGGACTGCCTCCTGGGGTCTGGGTGGTCCGTTTGCCTGCATCTGCGGGCTTGCCAGGGTTTCTAAGGAGCCTTTAAGGGTCTGTCCCTGCAGCTATTACTTAACACATAGCAAATCTTTTTCATCTCTCACTGGTGCTTGGAAGTAAATGACCTATTGTGAGGGGTCTCTGAAAGGTAATTGTGAAATCAGTAATTGTGAAAAAATTATGCATGGATTTCAGATTTTTCTGTATCAAAAGAAATATCTTTTAATTCCATTTTTTCACGAGCTTTTTGAAGTGTGCCGAGGTGAGTTGTTGATGCTAATCCTTCCGGGAGATGCCCAGTCACACCTCCTGAGGTCCTGTGTTGATGACGTGGGGAATGGCCGCTCGTAGGCCCGAGTTTGTCCGGCCACTCAGAGAGCCGGTCCTGATCCTGTTCTCTCCGGAGAACGCCGTGCCTGCTTCCCTAACGGCTGTGGCGGCTCAGCCTTGTGCCTTCCCCAGCGCCGCTGCTTTCCCGTGAGATGTCGCCTTCTGTTCTCGTCATGAAGTATTGCTAACGGAGCCCAATTTAGGGAATGGGCTGAGTGAAGGGGATGGCTCCTTGGCTTGGCTGTCTGCCTCCGCTGAGAGAGGAGGGGAGACGGGCTGGGCTCAACCGGTCCCCTCTGAGGCGGGGCTCTGGTCTGGAAAGACACAGACTGAGCCGGCACAAGATGAAAGAAGGCTGAGCTGGTCCCCCAAGAGCAGGCCTCTGGAAGTAGCTAGGGCAGGCCACACAGAGACGGTGCCCAACTCACAGCAAGAAGGGTTCTGCATGTGGTGTCCAAGTCTGGCCACCTTCAGAGCGGTTCTGGGGGACCTGGGTGTGGCATAACTGGGACGCGGTCGTGGCTGGGCAGACCCGCCACCTTACAGTGTTAGCACGAAGGGTCCTGGCGTCCATCCTGTGCTGCGAGGCCGGCTCTGGCAGCTGGAGTTGGGACTTGGGGAGCAGCAGTGATAGCTCATCTTGCTGGTCACTTGCTGGTGGTGGTTCTGTTTAACTTCTGTCATTGAGACCAGACCAGACAGAAAAGTGGTGTGACGTTCTCCATGTGAACACTGGAAGAGGGCTCATGTGGACCAGCTGGGCTTCTGGACGTTGTATGCAAAACTGCTGTTCACTTTCAAGTAATCACAGATTTAATCAGTGTTGTAAGCAATAGCTAGATAAATTGCTCTGGAGCTGACACACCGTTCAGTGTCTGAAATAGCTTGTGGTCTGATAGTTTCTACCCGTATGTCTGCTTTGGCGTTTCAGTGTACTTAGGACAGATGGAGCGAACTGCGATGACCATATCTGGGTTGAGAGGATTGGTGTCATGAGTAAGGTCCCCTGCTCTCCAGAAGAGCCCTGGGTAGTTCTCCAGGCAGTCTGGTTCCTCCAGAACAGGTTCATCCCAGGAGGGGGTGGTGACCTTGATTCCCTGAACCCCTGTTTCTCTCTCTGTCTTGGACCAAAGCTGTGAACGAAGCCACCTGCACCTGGAGTGGCCAGCTTCCCCCTCGGAACTATAAGAACCCCATCTACTCTTGCAAGGTGTTCCTAGGAGGTGTTCCTTGGGATATTACAGAAGGTGAGCTGTCTCTGAGAACTCTGGCTCCGAGAGTTGAAGGTGGGGCCTGGCTTTCAAGAGCCTGGAACTTGCACTGCGGCCATGGGGAGAGCCTCTGCCTGAGCGCCTGGCCTTACAGAGGAGCAGTGGGGGGCTGTGTTGCAGACTCCTAGCATTTCTGTGTCTTACCTGAGACCACAAGTCACCTCCTTGTTCAAGGGGCTGAGCCCGAGGGGTGGCACTGGGGAGTCCGAGCGCGCCTTTCCTGGGGAGGCCTGTGCTCAGCTTCTGCTGTCCTTAACATCTTTTGCAGCTGGATTGGTTAACACCTTCCGTGTTTTTGGCTCTTTGAGTGTGGAGTGGCCTGGTAAGGATGGCAAGCACCCCCGGTGTCCTCCCAAAGGTAATATTCCTAAAGGTAATAAAGACATGGTAGGAGCTTTTTTATTCCCCTCCCTAGAACGTAACTGCACAGAGGGGTGCTGGGATGTCACAGCCGCATGCTGGTAACGCGGGTGCTGCTTCAGCCTGGCACATCCCTGTTTGTTCCGAGCTAATGTTCCCTGCCCAGACCTACACTGCAGTGGGAGCCACCTCTGAACCCCCTTCCTTGTGCACTTCCCTACAAACCTGAACCCTGACGCACTGTTCCCCTCAAAGTTGTGTGTGAGAAAAGCTTTCCTGGCCAGTTCTGTTGCTGCCTGACCTGATTCTGAGATCCCTTTGGAGTTTGCAGGAAGGAGGACCAAACGTCTGATTCCTCACTGCTCTGAAATGAGATCCCTTCCCTGTAGAAAGGAGCCGGTGCTATTTTCACCCTGCCCCATCTTCCCTGAACTGAACCAGTGGGATAAGTAGGCTTTTAAAGCCATACCTGCCTCCCCTGGCAGAGTGCCCCCGGGAGAGCCTGGCTCTGCGACCTGGGCATCTCTGTCCAAGGGTGGAGAGCTGTGGTGACGCAGGACCCTGTCCCAGCCAGTCCCTTCCCTCAGCAGGGCGGGAGAGGCTGCACGGCTCTCTTCCTTGGCCTCAGCATCTGGCGTAGCGTGTGCTCCCATCCACCAGGACATTGCAGGAGTAGGAAAACATGCACCTTGCACACAAGGCCTCCTCTCTGAGGAGTCACGCCCTGCTGCGAAGCTGACATGGCCGCCGAGGGATGCTAATGCGGTGTGTCCTCTCTGGGTGTAGGGTACGTGTATCTGGTCTTCGAGATAGAGAAGTACGTCCGGGCCTTGCTTCAAGCCTGCTCTCACGACCCGCTGAGCCCAGATGGCCCCAGTGAATACTACTTCAAGATGTCCAGCCGCAGGATGCGCTGCAAGGAGGTGAGACCTGCTGTGTCCTGGACCGTGGTGCCAAGCTCACAGAGGCGCCGCGTTCCCGTGGGCGGGGTGGGCACAGGGCTGCAGGCGAGGGATGCTCCTGCGGGACGAGCTGCTCTCCTGCCCCACAGTGCACCCAGCGGTGCTCTCTCATTGCATAATAACAACAATAATAACCATAACAAAACTGGGGGGCCTTAATGGAGTGCACACAGCCTGCCCACAGGGCTCAGACCATTGCCCCATCCTGTTCTGCTCTTGGTCTGCCCAGTACTTCAGCTTGTCATCAGGGCGACGTGGAGAGCAGCCCCTTGCTCTCCTTGCCCCTCACTCCTCAGTGACAGCTGTTCTCCCTCGTCCTGCCCTTGGGCTGCACCTTCTGGCTACCAGCCTGGTGGGTGAATCCCCCAAAGCCCGTTCCCGCCTGGAGCTCGATCACTGTATCATCTTCTCCGTATGATTCTCTCACATCTTTAGCATCCGTCTTGCAGGTCCCCGGCATCGTGGGTCTTACCCTGGATGTACCACGTCAGTCTAGGCAGAGTGTAGGAGTCTCCGCTCTACCCAGGTCCCCCATACAGCATCAGAACCACTTGTGAGAGCATCAGCGTTGGGTTTTCCTGAACCTGATCCCAGAGCCCGTCACTTCTGTGACGTTGAACTGGATATGCTGTTTTGGAATCTTCAGATCCTCATCTGTAACACAGGAGCTGATGCCTGCTCGGAGTACAAAGACCAGTGTTTTGCCTCCCTCTGGCAGAGTGCCCCCAGGAGAGCCTGACTCTGTGACCTGGGCGTGTCTGTCCGGGGGTGGAGAGCAGTGGTGATCTGAGACCTTGTCCCAGCCAGTCCCTTCCCCCAGCAGGGTGGGAGAGGCCGCGTGGCTCTCTTCCTTGGCCTCAGCACCTGGCGTGTTGCGTGCAGGGAGGCGTGAACAGGCACAGCATTAAGAATTTGGGAGTAATGAGGCTGTTCTGTGTGGTACTGTAGAGGCGATGCCTGTCGTCCTGTACACGTCACAGCACATGGCATGTACCACGGACGTCGGGGGGAAGCCCTAAGGCAAGCTAGGGGATTTGGGGGGTAATGAAATGTCAGTGTAGAGTTGGTTCGGAACAACAGCAGGCCGTGTGGACAGTGGGGGAGGCCACGCATGTCAGGGGTCAGAGGAATATGAGAAATCTTCCTGCTGAGTTTTACTCTGAACCTTCACCCTGAAAAGCAAACTCTATTTAAAAAAAAAAAAAAAAAAAGTGTAGGGAAAAAATAGCCTATTTAATTGGGACAGCCACATTAGATTTAACCAAGTGACCCATGTAACTGTGCTGACCCCTTGTTTCCCAGACGTGTCCCATATTCACACTGTGTCAGTGACAGGTCCGGGGCACCTTCTGGCTGCCACGGTGGCACACGGCTCCCATCTCCCTGCTGCGTGGAGCTCAGCAGTCGTACCTTCGTGGATCCCGAGACTGTTCGAGAGCTGCTGCTTCCTGCTCTCCTCAGTGCCTCTGTTGACAGCTTCCTGTCCCTGAGTGTGACCTCCTCCTTGTCCCTGCCTCGCAGGGCTTGCCTGTGGTGCCCCGGCTCCATGCTGTCCACTTCTCCTGACTCCTCTTCCCGCTGCCACCACCACCGCCGCAGCCAGGATTTGACCCCCTCCCGTTGTCTCTGCTCTTACCTTTGACCAGGCCCACCTTGCTGGCCTCCTGTCCTGCCTGAGCCCCCCTTCCAGCAGGGGACCCTCCTTGGGCTGTCTTGTAATCCCAAATTGCTCCCTGTGCAAAACAGGCTCTCCTGTCTTCCAGTGCCTTCTGCCAGGCCGTCTCATCCCCAGGCCAGGCTAAACTGGAACTGGAACCCTTCAGTCCCACTCCTCCCGCCCACGTCCAGGCAGTCTGCCATCTGCAGACTCTTCTCTTGGACCTGCCAGGGCCACGTGGTCCTCACCGGCTTTGTCCTGCCCTCGGAACCGATGTCTTCCCTCCTTGCTGGCTTGTGCCTCAGAGCTCAATTTCCTGCTTCAAGGATTCTTTATCTTTTTCAAGCTTTAAAAAAAAAAAAATGTCACAGGCATATTAAAGTTATATGCATTTATAGGGTACTATGATGTTTTGATACATGTGTGCATTGTATAATGTCCAATTAGGGAAAGCCTGGTTATCGCTTTAAACATTTAGTATTTCTGTATAGTGGAAACATCCCAAATCCCATCTTCTGGTTTTTTAAATAGTGAAATACATGCACAGCACATTGTCCACGGTCGTCCTATTGTACAGTAGAATCCCAGAACTTCTCACTCCTAGGTACCCTCCTGTGTCCCATAACCTAGTGCAGTTCCTAAGGTCTCCCCGTACTGACCGTCCAGAAACGGCTCCCTGATCAGCTCATTTGTGGTGGCCGCCTCTGCCTGCTACACTGGGCTTTGTTCTGGGCTTGGGATTTGGGGCAGAGGATGTGGTCATCTCCTGCCCCGTGGAACTGTAAGACTCCCGGGGTCTTCTGGGCATGACGCTCCACACGCCCTCTCCATGCCCCTGCCCCTGGCATGAGCCCTCTGGAGCCTTGGTGGGCCAGTAATGGGTGCAGATACCACGAGTATCTGTGCTGTCCTTCCAGATCCCAGCCTTTTTGTTGTTGTTTATTTTATTTGAAAGGCGGAGAGACGGAGATCATCCGGCCACTGATTTACTCCCCAAATGACTGCAACAGCCAGGGCCTGGAACTCCAAGCAGGTCTCCCACCTAGTGGCACGGACCCAAGTACTTGGGCCACCTTCTGCCTTCCCGGGCATGTTAGCAGGAACTGGATTCAAAGCAGGGCGGCCGGACCCAAGGGACACCAATGTTGCTGCACCACAGTGCCAGCCCCTCCAGCCTTCCACTTACCTGGGACTCCTTCCTTTCTCAAGGACTCCAGGTGGTGCTCCCTGCTCCTCCGTGCCCACGGCCCTTTGTTGTAACCACACGGTGGGAGATTGTGACAGAGTGGCTCCTGGACTTGACAGCTTGGTACTTACTTGCTTGTACTGAAGGGTGAGCAAACGCCGCTCTGGTGGTGACTTCCACCATCGTGGACTGAGAGCTTAGCTCTAGTTGTTTAGGGGTAGGGGGCTGCCTGGGGGCCTCTGCCTGCCCAGTGCCGTGCAGGACCAGCTGCTGCAGTGTCTCCAGAGCCTGTCTCCCTGTGGCTCCGCCATGCTGATGCACCTCTGGGTGGTTTTCAGGTGCAGGTGATCCCCTGGGTCTTGGCTGACAGCAACTTCGTCCGGAGCCCATCTCAGAGGCTTGACCCCAGCAGGACGGTGTTTGTTGGTGCTCTGCACGGGATGCTCAACGCTGAGGCCCTGGCGGCCATCTTGAATGACCTATTTGGGGGAGTGGTGTATGCTGGGATTGACACAGATAAGCACAAGTATCCCATTGGTGAGTGTCCCACTTCTGTGTGGCAAAGCTGGGTGGCTCCTGGGAGTAGACCAAGATTGTGATACTTCCCCACGGGGGTGCAGCAAGAGACCTGACCCAGGTCTCCCGATCAGCGCATAGCAGGAGTGGAGCATCCCCAGCGGGTCGCCAGCCCTCCGCTGCACCTCTTGCACCCGAGACAGGGTGACTGGAGACTGTGGGAGGTGGTGGGAAGGAAGGACGAAGCAGGGACCTTGTTGGAAGCTCAGAGTTCACAACCAAACCACTTTGGGACAGATAGAGATTTTATTAAAAGGCCAAGGTTTCCTGAACTTGCCTGGTTTGCTTTATTAATAATACTTTAGACTCTGGTGTTGTCTAGGATCAAAAACCAGGTCAGGCCAGAGGCGGGCTTTCTGGATGATGGGCAGCAGTGTAGCCTCGGCCAGTGCTATCCCAGTGTAAGAGTGTGGGTCCAACCACTGGGTTTTGAATGGCCCTTCTGAGAATTGAGGTCAGTTCCTCAGTCATGGCAGAATGATCTCGACGGTGGGGTTTGGAGGTGGAGCAGACCGCCAGCTCTCTGATCCAGACATGACTAAGCCATTTCCCCACGGCTGAATCTGGGCAGGAAGGAGCACTGTGTGCTCATCAGTGCTGCACCGGGGATCTGAGGCGGGGGCAGCCGGTGCAGGTTGGGACTACGTCTGGCTCGAGTGCCTCCAGGCCTGGTGGGCCTGCCCTCCAGAGAGCTGTGCTGCCTTGGTCTCCACTCTGAGCCCTGTGACCTTACTGTGCCGGAGGAACCCTTTCCCTCCCATGGAGACCCATCCTTTCCCACTCCATGATTCATGCCAACACGGTCTCCTCCGGACTGTCTGATGCGGTAGCCACCAGCTAGATGTGGCCATCGCTGTGCTGGAAATGAGGCGGGTGCTACATGTTGAAAAGATGTTTTGGACATGCCGGGTTAACCACATTACTAAAGTCCCAGTGCTTTGTATTCCGATGTGGCTACCCAGAAATCGCAGAGTACACGAGTAGCTCACATTGTGTTTCTGCTGGATGGCACTCGTAGAGAAACGGCTTCCTGAGGGCAGAGCGAGGCATTTGGGAAAACTCGGCTGGAAGGTAAGCTCATGTCTTGTCCTTAGGGTCTGGTCGTGTGACTTTCAACAACCAACACAGTTACCTGAAAGCAGTGAGCGCTGCTTTTGTGGAGATCAAAACCACCAAGTTCACCAAGAAGGTGAGTGAGCGGCCTTACTCTGGTCCCTGAGGGGCTGGGGCTGCTCGGCAAAGTGAGCCGAGCTGTGAAGGACTGAGGCGAGGGCTTGGGCGCTCTGAGCCCCACAGTGTGCTGGTTTCTGGCCTCGCTAAGTCCTGCATCCTGACCGACCTGGCCTCTCTGAACACTCAGTGGTGGAGTCTGGGGGTAGCACGCTGAGGTGACCGGGCAGGAGCGTGTGTTTCCTGCATGCCCGAGCCGCCAGCCTGGCTGTGTCTGGTGCCAGTCTAGTCTCTGCCTGCTCTTTGCTCTAAGCCGCCTTTCAAACAGGCAAGCACTGTGCCTCACGTGCGGTGCCCTCTGACCCCGGCTCCCTGGTGAGGAGAGCACCTCCTGTTCCTGTTGTGCTTCCGTGCAGGTCCAGATAGACCCCTACCTGGAGGATTCTCCGTGTCACATCTGCAGTTCCCAGCCCGGGCCTTTCTTCTGTCGCGATCAGGTGAGTCCCCTGGGCACCGGAGGTGTCTCGGCAGCCCCCATCCTCGATTACAGTGCACACCCAGGTTGGAGTTCTGAGGTACTTGTGTCAAGAGAGCAGAGGCGGCAGCAGTCACGCTCGCCGGGGTCAGGCCGGGCCCTGCTGTGGGCAGCTTGGCCGGGGCTCTGGGGAGCTGGCTGCATTGCGCCTTGGGCACTCTGGTCTTTGCCTGGGATGCTCCTGTGTGACACGGCTCCTGGCAGTGCCTGTCCGGGGGCAGAACCGTGAGCCAGTACCGCTGCTCTAGCTCTGGGCCCCCCAGGCTGACTGATCTCTGCTCAGGGACTCCTGTCCTTGACCTCTGGGCCCCTGGACCGCCCTGACACTGAGCCTGGGCTGTTGTCAGCAGGCAGAAAGCAGCGTGACAGTCTCCTGTTTGGTGTTTCTGGGTGGTGGGGCACGGATATGGACGTGCTTGGCTGTGTTTCTCAAGCTGACGCACACACGCGTCAGCCAAGGGCCTCACTGAAATGTGGATGGCGAGTCTGCGGGCCTGAGGTGGCCACTGACAAATGGCCAGGTGGTGCCGTCACCGCCGTGCACCATGCTCTGTCCAGCGGGCGGCCCCCGAGGACACTGGCCGTCCGCTGTGCTTAGTTCTCTCAGCAATGCTGTGGCTGCGCTTTCCACCTCGGGGGAGGTAGATGATGGTTACGCGGAGGGCCCCTGTGAAGAGTGCGAAGGGTCGTTGGGTAGCTCTGGGCCTCCCTGGTGGGCTTCGGGATCTTTGAGAGATGATCTCCATTTCCAGGTCCTTGCTCAGAGCCTAGTGGCTTGCCTGAGGGGGTACACAGCAAGAGGGGGAACCCACCAGTCACTTCTGCCCGCCCAGTGCCTGCTGTTGGCCGCTGATGTGTCCCTAACCGTGCCCCATGTGAGCAGCCCTGATGGCAGCTCTGTGTCGGCGGTGAGAAAGGCAGGGCAGAGCAGAGCTGGTGCACTGGTCCGAGGGGCTGAGGGACGCTCGCAGTCTCTGCGCACCCCTGGAAGTCCATGGTTGGGGTGAGCGAGCTCCCAGGGACCCTGTCTATAGCCGGAGCTGACGTGGACGTGACCTCTCCTCTTGTGTCCCTCCAACCCAGGTCTGCTTCAAGTACTTCTGCCGGAGCTGCTGGCACTGGCGGCACAGCATGGAGGGCCTGCGCCACCACAGCCCCCTGATGCGGAACCAGAAGAACCGAGAGGCCAGCTAGAGGAGCCGGGCTTGCCCGGGGGCCTGGGGCGCCCAAGGCTGGCAGGTCTAGCGGTGGCCGGCACCACCCTGCCACTGGCGACCAGGGAGCTGGCTTCCCGAGGACAAGGGAACTCATAGTCACCGTTGCACTTGCTGAATCTGTCTTTGTTTCTGCACTAATTAATGCACAATGAGTTTCGTCGGGTTTTGTTTCCGGGGTGAGCCAGAGCAAGGACCCTCTGGCTCGCCCTCCAAGCAACTCTGTAGTTTTCCCAGATTTCAGTTTCTCATTTTGCTGATGAAAAGCAAGAAGAAAATACAAGACTGTGTCCAGAAGGTGTTGACACGGACGCCTGCATCTAGAGGTTTATTTATTAAAGCGCTTTTTTACATTCCTTGCAATACTGATGGTGATGACGCGCAGGTCTCATTGGTTTCATCCTTGCAGTTGCCATACAGTGCCTTTCCATTTATTTAACCCCCACCTGAACGGCATAAACTGAGTGTTCAGCTGGTGTTTTTTACTGTAAACAACAAGGAGACTTTGCTCTTCATTTAAACCAAAATCATATTTCATATTTTACGCTCGAGGGTTTTTACCGGTTCCTTTTTACACTCCTTAAAACAGTTTTTAAGTCATTTGGAACAAGAGATTTTTTTCTTTCCTGGCAGCTTTTAACATTATAGCAAATTTGTGTCTGGGGACTACTGGTCACTGTTTCACACGGTTGCAAATCAAAGCGTTTGCAACCAAGAAAAAAAAATTTGTTTTATTTGAAACTGGACCCGATAAAGGGCATTTGAGCGGCTGCTGTACATAGTTTCAAATGGTTTCTCGCACCTTCTTCAGTTGCACTTGTCGGGGGAGGGTTGATAGAAGTTTTTAATCACAGACTCACAGGACTTTTTTCTTTTGTAACTGAGCTTAAAAAAAAAAAAAAAAGGGCTGCTTCTCGGTGGGGTGGACGAAGGCTCCCGGGCCCCTCCCAGAGCGGGCAGTGCCCTTCTGACGGCTCGTTTGAGGAATGTACGAAGCCACAGTTGCAGTTGACTGAACCGCTACTGGAATTTGAAAACTTGACTCTCTCCTTTTTTTTTTTTTTTTTAAATACTTGCCCCTCTTAGGGAAGCCGTGTGCCAAAGAACCAGTGTCATGACCCCCCCTGCTGAGCTGCTGTCGCATTGTCGCAGATCCCAGCTACTCTGTGGGTTTTGTGAAGCTGTGTGTGAAGTCTCTACCTCACTGTAGTATATGCGGGCCAGACTGCACTCGCCTACAGATGCGTGGAGTACGCTGTGGTGTAGTTTTTTTGGCACATAATAAACACGTTGCAGCAGAGTCCTGGGTCCGTGTCTGTGTCTGTCTGAGGTGGGGGCCCCGGGGCGCCCGGGGTGGCGGCGGGACCACGTGGGCTTCGGGAGCTGTCCGGGGGGTGGGGGGGGGGGGGGTTTCCCCCCAAACTGGGGCCGGCCCGTCCTTCCCCCCGGGAGGGGCAAAGGGGGCCGGGTCCTCGGATTCCGCCGGCCTGGGGTGCCTGTGGGGGACGCAGTGGGTCTGAGGCCCCCGGCTGAGGGGCGCGGGGGTCTCCTCGCCCAGGACGCCCCGGCCACTCGGGGGCGGGGTCCCTTCTGTCCGGGTGAGACTCGCCGCCCTTCACCCACCCGCCGTCTCCGCCCTGTCCGGTGAGGGTGCGGAGCCGGACAGCGGGCAGCCGGCGCTGGGGGCGTCCCAAGGCGGACAGGCCGGGAGCTGTGGCGCTGAGCTGGGCCCGCCCTTCCCTCAGGCGCCCACCGCGGGGCCGGAAACCCACTCGAGGCGCCTGGCACAGCCCGCCGCTCCGGACGGGACGGGGCTCTGCGATGGCTGGGGAGGGGGCGCCACCCCCTACTTCCACACGTCTCCGTGGCCGTGGGTCCGTCTGCCTCTCAGGGACTGGAAGTCGTCTCCACACTGCCCAGAGTGTGGGAGTCACCTGCTCCTGGTCTACAGGGCACCCGACCCCCGACCCGCGGCCGCCCTGAACGCCGGCGCAGCGAGCGCGGCGCGGAAGCGGACGAGCCCCACCCACCGTGGGCGGGGCCGCCGTCGCCCCGCCCACCCGGGCAGTGCGCCGCCCTCACTTCCGCCCCGCGCCGCCAGGGGCCGCTGTGGTGCGCTCGAGCAGGCTCCGCGCGTCCCGGGCTGGGCGGAAGCGGCTTTCTGGCCTGCGCTTTATAGGCCTCTCTTGTGCTTCCTGTTTCCTCTTTCACTCAGGACCCGCCAACATGGTAGGTGTATAGGTCTTAGGGCGCTATCCAGCTCCATCGTCCCCCATCCACAGCTCCCCGTGATCCCTGACCCCGGAGGGGAGACCCTGGGCCGGGTGCGCGCGCGACCCTGTCCACCTGGAGCCGCTGGCGACCGCAGTGTCCGTCCCAACTCCGCTGCTCCCGGGCGGGCCCGGCCCGCGAGCCCACGGCCGCCGGGGCTTCGCTCGGCTAGCGCTGCCCGCGGGTGACCCCCGTGCTCTGCCGCCCGCAGGGCCGCGTGCGCACCAAAACCGTGAAGAAAGCGGCCCGGGTCATCATCGAGAAGTACTACACCCGCCTGGGCAATGACTTCCACACCAACAAGCGCGTGTGCGAGGAGATCGCCATCATCCCCAGCAAGAAGCTGCGCAACAAGATCGCGGGGTGAGGCGGGGCCCGCGGGGAGCCGGAGGGCGCGGCCCGGGGGTGTGCGGGGCCGGGGCCGGCGGCGGCACCTGCTCGGCCGGCGGCCGGGGGTGTGCGGGGCCGGGGCTGCAGCCGCCCGCGGGCGCGCTCACGGAGGGTCTGGCGCAGCTATGTCACGCACCTGATGAAGCGGATCCAGAGGGGCCCGGTGAGAGGCATCTCCATCAAGCTGCAGGAGGAGGAGCGGGAGCGGAGAGACAACTACGTGCCCGAGGTGAGCGCCCTGGGCCCCGGGCTCGCCCGCAGGTGGGGACGCGGGTTCCTGAACCCGCCGCGTGCCCACCTGTGGTCGGCCCCGCGCTGCTGATTGGATAAGTGCTGATGCCGGCCTCCCGGGGTCTGCCTGGCCGTGCTGCAGTGCCCGAAGCGACTTCCCCTGTGGGGGGACTCGATCCTGCCCGCCCACGGCTCGCTCCCCCTGTGCACACGGACCAGGCAGCGGGACACGTGCAGGGGAGGTGCCGGCTCTCACTGGTACGGGGCCTGCCTTTCTCTCTAGGTCTCCGCGCTGGATCAGGAGATCATTGAAGTGGATCCTGACACGAAGGAAATGCTGAAGCTCCTGGTAAGCTTTGGCTGCCCTCGCCGAGCCGCATGCCATCCGCAGCCTCCTCCTAGTGCTAATAGCTCACCGCTTAGCCGGGCTCGAGGTCACACAGCTCCCAGGGAATGGCTGGGTTGGGCGCCCACCCACAGCTCTGTAACGGGGGTCGGCTGCTCGTTGGTTGTTGAAGGTGGCGCTGAGCGTGTTGGCTGCACAGTGGTAATTCCCAGACCCACTGGCCTCTGCTGTGGCTTCGGGAAGGTTCGGTTCCGGCCTCTCCTGTCTGCTCTCGTCATTGCGCCCCGGGGCTCTGTCTGTCCTCCCCACCTCTCCTTTGGTCTGGGTTCCAGTGTGTGCCGGTAGGCCGTGCACAGGGCCATAGTTTGGTGACGGGGCCTGGGCTCTGAGGTCCAGCAGGCTCTTGGTGACTCTGTTGGAGCTTCCACCCGCTGGGTCACTTCTTGTGTGGCTGCAGCGGCCAGCGATGGCCCAGGCCAAATTCTGGGGCCAGGAGCTCAGTCCGGGCTTGCATGTGGGAGGTGGGGGCCCGACTACTTGAGCTGTCGCTGCCACTTCCAGGAGCCAGAGCCCCAACCCAGGCGCTCTGCTAAGGGATAGGGCTACACCTCTCGCCCCCAGTTTTTCCATCTCTGGTCGTTGGAAGGTTAAGAGATTGAAACTCTTGAGAACTGTGAGCTCGCGTGCACCTGTGGCCCGGCCCAGCATCCCCTTGCCTGCTGTGGATCTGCGGGTCCTTGCCCGAACAACCGCTGTCCTGTGTGTAGCTTCTCTGCTTCAACTGTGTGGTCTTTCTTAAAGACCAAGTTGCACGTTAGGTTCCAGGTGCATGGTGGGCCCGGGGCTCCTGGGCTTGCTGCAGGGCTGGCCAGAGCTTGTGCCCGTGCTGATGGGATTAGAGGTGCTTCCGGGCCGCGGGCTGCCCTGGGAGTGGGTTCCGGGCCAGGAGCCGGTGGCATCATGGGCTGTGGTGTAAGTGCTGTGTGTGTCGTTGATGAAGTCCTTAGGGAGTGAGGGCACCAAGAGAGGTGGGCACATGGGCATTGGATGCCGTGCCCAGGACACCCTGGGGCCTCCCCCACCGCAGCCCCGAGTGCCTGGGTTCCCGCTTCCTCTTGATGGACACCCTGGAGGGCAGCAGGTGGTGGCGGAAGTACTTGGAAGACCCGGGTGGGGTTCCCAGTCATGGCTGTCGGGACTCTCTGGGGAGTGAACATACAGCTGAGATCTGTCTCACTGTGCCTTACAAATAAAGTTCTCTGAAAAGAAAGTCTACATGCGGCCCAGGGATGGCTTTTTTCCCTCCAGTCTGTGATTGGCTGAGTCTGGATGCGGAGGCCAAGGGCGCCCTGGCAGTGTCTCGGAGACAGGCAGAGCAGGGGTGCTGCTTGGGGAGCCCCAGCGCAGGTGTCTGGGGTGTCGGCCCTCGTCCCACCAGCCCCGCCCCAGGCCAGACAGTGGGGGGTGCTGCCCTGACCCCCTCAGCTCGGCCAGATGGTGCTCACTGGGTCCCTCTGTTGTTCCAGGACTTCGGCAGCCTGTCCAACCTGCAGGTCACGCAGCCTACAGTGGGGATGAACTTCAAAACGCCGCGTGGAGCCGTGTGAGCCTTTCCGCTTCACTGTCTATTTTCAATAAACTTGGGACAACCAGCCTTTGCCTCTGTCGTCTGGCGCCGAGAGCAGGAGTTCTCGCAAGGGCACTGGGGCTGTGGGGCCCTCCCGACAGTGCCTGGGACGCGGCCGGGGACGTGGGGGAGCTGCCTCCTGAGGTCCATGCCCAGCTAGCAGGGTCCCCAACAGTGAGAACAGCCTGGAGGGGAGTCACGGGGGTCTGTGGTGGGAGGGGGAGGTCCTGGCTGGGTTGCTTCTCCTCCCTCTGCGCCCTGGAGCGCGTCCACCGTGGGGAGGGCGGGCTGGGACTGCATCTGTGTCTCACTGGGGGGCGGGCCTGGACTCCTGCTCCTCGGTTGTCAGCGAGGAAGTGGCCAGGCCGGCTCTGGTGCTGGGCACACATCTGCTTCTGACAGGCAGGTAACAGCAAATTGCCATCTAACGTGTTTGTAGCTTCGTTTTGATAGAATTACAAACTCGGAGTTGCAAGCATAGCACAAACAAGGACTTTGGTGTGTGTCTACCCAGACTGGCCAGTCGTCTGCGTTTTGCACATGGTCACGGTTTCTGGCCTATTGGAGCTTAAACAAGTTTGAGATGTGCCCATTTACTCCCAAATATTTCAGGATCTTCTAAGAATAACAACACGCCTTTACGTAACCATAGTCCAGTCGTGAATCAAGGTTAACAGTGGCCCAGCCCACAGCCGATATCGGGTTTCCTGTGTAGTGTCCCTAGTGTGAGAAGTCCTGGGCAGTCCTTTTGCAGAATGCCCTTTGCGTGGGTGGGTGTCGTCTGAGCTCACTGGCTTTCTGGGGGTGGGGCATTTGCTTTTAAGGCACATCTGTGGGCTTCCCACTGTCAGTGGTAGTGGTGAGGGCCCGTGCTGTGGTGGAGTCAGTTAATCCTGCCTGTGCTGCTGGCATCTCCTGTGGGCGCCAGTTCTAGTCCTGGCTGCTCCACTCTTTTGAGAGACAGAAGGGTCTTCCTTCTGTGGTTCTCTTCCCCAGAGCCGAAACAGCCAGAGCTGCATCGATCCGAAGCCGGGAACCAGGTGCTTATTCCTGGTCTCCAATGCGG